GACAACCCCGTAACAATATGCGTTTTGTACTGCTGTTACACAGCACAAAACGCATAATAAATGAAATGAAAAAAACCGTTAAATGACAAGTGTTACTTACTTAATTTCTTTTTCGATGGAGCATCTGCAACTGCCATTTCTGCTTTTCGTTTCTCCTCATCAGCAACTACTGCCCTTCGTGACTCAGTCACTCCATTAGATGCTTTCCTAGGATCAGGCACAGTGACCGCGATAGGATGTACCTGTTGCTGTTTGCTCGAGTCTACAGCTTCTGCATTTATGTTCTTTGCCGATGGGGTTTTCACAGTTGCACTATTGCCACCAGCCGGACTTTTTGTTGGAGTGGCACGCGTTGCCTTTTTGGCTGCATCTGTTATCCTCTGGAACAGAGAGCAGGCCATTAAAATAAAACAATTTTTCACAAAAACATTGAAAATTACTGGAATTTTTGAAAAGCATTTTGAAAAAACATCACTTTTGGGAACTGTTTGGTTTTAAAAACAAAATCCTTGTTTTGAAAAATTTAGTAATTGAATCAAAATTTTTCCCCAAACTTCTAAACGATTATTTTCTAGTACACCTTCAGCCCATGCGAGAGTGATGAAGGGGATGTCGCCATTCAAAAAATTGAAGGACTGGGCAAGCAACAGCGGAGGACGTGCAATACAATTAGGACCTCTTTTCAGAAGGAAAAGAAAGAAAACTGATTTGATCCAATCAGTTCGGCATAACAACCACGGGAAGGTTATCGGTTCAACATAATGCGAAAATACGTTCGAGTTCGAAATGCCAGGTTAATCAAAATATAAAGCTATTAAAAGAAGTTACGTTATGAAACTGCGACTCGGTGTACGTGTGCGTCTTACGCATCCGCAGATGACCCGCATAAGAAGCAGCCATTAGGGAAAGATCATCCCTGTGACCTTTCTCGACATCGCGTACTCTGTTCACAGCTTTCTCGATATTTGCAATGTGATTTTCGATCAAGGGGAAATTTGCCAACGTCTAAAAATATTAAATATCACGAATAAACAGAATGACTCAGGCAAAACTAGCGCAGACAAATTCGATGTCCCTTGTATAAATTCTCTTCAATTTCACCCTCAACTGTCCAAAATCTGGCTTTTTCAAAACAGATTTAGCAGTTTTCGATCTATTTTTTCATTCTTGAAGTTAATTCAGCACAACCAAACTGGGAGTTTGATGTCAATTTTTAAATTCTAGATCCCGCTTCCTATGATATGGCGATTTTCTTTTTCACTTGATGCGAAAAAAGTGACTACAGCCAATCTTCCTTCGCCGTTCTTTACGGACTCAGCATTACACGTGCCTTTCAACAACCATAGAATAATGTAATTTAGAAACAAGGGCGCGTAAGGAAAATAGGGAAGATGATGTAGTGTCGAAGAATCGAGGATGTAACTACGATCCAAAGACTGACAGCAAATAGCGTGGAAAAACTGCGTTTTGATCAACAAATTTCAAGCAATTTCAGTGAATTAGAAAAAAAAAATAAATTAAGAATATTGCCGTGCAAAAACACGATTATTACCTTAATCATAACAATTAAACAATTTCTCATCATCACATAATTGGTGCCGTCCAAGATGGAAAGGCACGAACGCGTCATTCGATATTGCCATTTATGACATAACGTCCTGAAAGCAAGTTTTAAATACATACACCATAAAAATTCCAATTATTTTTGCAAAAATCAGAGAATTGAAAATATTCTACAGTCCTGTTGTTGGGCATAGCGGGGTATCCAAGAGTGCGCGGATACGGCAGGGATGTTCGTGAACGTCGATGCCCCGTGATAATGCTTGATTTATGCGTTAAAATTCTGTACATAAATGTGCGTGATCAGGAATTAATTCTTTGTTCATTGTTTTTTTTTACGTTGCCCGGTTGGCTCGTCGGAGCCATTAGATTAAATTTTAATTATGTTCGCCAGCTTCATCAGGGCGCGACTCGCCAGGGCCAGGCGAGGTCCGCCCAACACTGTGTCTTCCCTCATATTTACCTGCATTTACAGTAGTAGTCTCATTTGTCGGCATTTCGAAAACTCCTAAAAACTTCCTCCCACAATATCCATCACAAACATAAACACAACACACAGAAACGAATATACATACTCAAACACACATACACACCACACACAGAACACATCCCATTCTTGAACCGCATCCTTTTCTTTGTGAGTCTTTCTTTATCCTCCGGTCTCCTCCATCCCTTCCTTGTTGCCTTCACCAGCCTTTACACTTTCCCAGCCATAAAAAAAAACCCTACACCCTATCCTTTAAATGAAAATTATTTGGCATTTTTGGCTGATACCTGTATGATTCATAATTCATTCCATCACTGGCACTGTCGGTACTTGTAGCATCCGCGTTTCGCACTTGCAATTTGGTCATGAAACCAGGGAACCGAAGGCATTCCTCAAAAGGAACATAAGTATTAGTAGAACAAAACATACTTCTAAATTTAGCAATAATGTAAAATACCCGTCGCACCATATCTAACACTGATGTTAAAAAGTTGGCTGATTAAGCCAACGGCAAGGAGGCTTACCTTTTCAAAAACTCCTTTTTCAGAATGCCAGCGCTGAACGTACTCCAGTACTAATGACATAAATCGTCCAAAGCAATTTGCTTCATTTTCGGACAGTGCAGCCAATATAATACCAATATCACTGAACAACTGCAACAGGCCGAGTACACTCAAAAACAATAAAAATAGCAACGTACACCAGACTAGTTGGTACAATCATGAGTTTTGTGCAATTCTGCCCAACAAACGATTGCCTACCAATGATTTTCACTGCTTTGTAATTTGAAAACTTGAAGGGTGAATATACTTCAGTGATTCCCGAGATAACAGTTTACCCGCCAAAACTTTTATAAGCCAGCAAGTGATGCCTAAGAGCGCAGAAATACTGAATTTGAATTTGTAAGACCGTACGTGAGCAAGGCGTCATTAGCATAAAATTTCAGCTTCGCAAATTTTACGGTTCCTGAGGTGACAATTTACCTGCAAAAATTTTCATAGGCTCGTAGATAATACGCGAGAGCACGGGAACGCTGAGTTTGAGTTTGCAAGGCCGTTCGTGGGCAGAAGGTCAAACTCTAAAATTTCCGTTTCCTGGACTCCGTGGTTCCCGAGATAATAATTTATCCGCCAAAAATTTTTGCGGAGCCGCACGTGTTATCCGCAGGTACGGAGAAGCTGAATTTAAATTTGCTGGGCCACACGTGAGTGGGGAACGTCCCACTAAGTTTTCAGGTCTCTAGCTCTTGTGTTCTCGAGTTGAAAGTTGCGGACAAGTTGCTGCGGACATACACACACACACACACACACACACACAAACAAACAACCCCGTGACAATATGCGTTTTGTGCTGCTGTTACACAGCACAAAACGCACAAAAAAGGTAAATTCATATATACGATTTTAGAACGATGAACTCCAATGAAAAATATTAAGGGTGCCGAGACTGCAGTGGCAGCTGAGTGGGGATTCCACTTTAGTGATGTTGACGAAATGCCTCCAGAACACATCAGGGGATCCAGTACATGTCCATTCCGGTAGTTCCTCGCGTGACGTTCAATCATTGTCAATCAACAGAACGTACCACATCCCCGGCCATCGGTTTTTATGCGTTTTTTCCAGCTATGCAATGCAGAAAACGCATATTGACGAGAGGTTGTCTGTGTGTG